GGGTACTTAAATGTTCAAAAGATAGTGTTATGCAGTGCTGTTCTAGCAAGTGCAAAGCAAAAGAAAGGGACAGGATTTTCACTCCTGTTTACAGCGAAATATAGAGGTTGTACATTTCCTTACACAGGTTACAGTAGATGTTTCAATCAAATATTCCACAGGTAACCAAAATATTCCACAGGTAACTTATTATTTTAAAGATCGTCAGAGGAGGGCGGAATAAAAAAGTCTCGCCTAACAGTCAAACAACTTGGGAAGTTTTACTTTTATAATCTCAACATAATACACAAACAACATAATGTTCATAAAATAATAGTAATTACATTAATTATTAACGTTCATGGCATAGTTAATAACAATAATGGCAATGTCAATAGCAACTACATATGTGGGTTAGTCTAGTCAATCTGGATTGACCCCGAACTAATTGCAACAGAAATAACATATTAAAAATCTAATCAGGTGAACATTGTTAATTTTAATGTATGGTATGCAACTATACACTTCAAAGCCTACATTGTTTACAATACTGTAATAGTCACATACTGCGTACACATTACGTTGTGCAACACATTGAAAGATCTCTCCTCTCATTATCTAATTCAAGAAGACAGTCCACAAGCGCTGAGTGAGCTGGTGCTTGTGGCTGGAAATTTTTTTCTTTTGGATGTTTAGATGTTCTGTTTGCTATTTTGTGATTTTAGTGAAGTGCTTTTTTTCTTGAGACTTTAATGTGTTTTTTCGCTTGACTACTTTTTTTTGTTCGTGTACAGTGGAAGCTAGCACACGGCCTTGTTGATTGCTTACAATGACCTGAAATTTTAAAAGTGAACTGGACCCTGCTGCTCGCCGTTTTGAAGGTATTGATCCTGCCATGACGGTCTACCGTCTAAGCGTAGGCGTAGTTATAGGGGCAGACGTGGGGAAGGTTGCATAAAACAGCGAATTTCTGTCGTTTACAACATATTTTTTATAAGGAATGACCAACTTCATACACACACTGATCCTAGGACTCGGGTAAGAACTTCAAATGTGTTAAATTCGTGAAGACAGTTCAACCATTTAATAACATTGCTGTACCTAAGGCCGCATAGACTCCCAAGGGGATTTCACAAATTGTTTTGTGTGGTGATTACATGGTTACTAATTCCCCACATCAAGCATTATTAGAACACCGTCTGATTGAAAACATGGATGGTATTTGTTCACAGTCACCTAAAACCGGTTTTTGTGTGATGGGAGATTTCAACCGGATAAACATGTACAACATTATGAACGGGACCAATCATAAACAAGTCGTTAAATTTCATACACGTGGTAACGTTACATTCGATTTGATAAAAGCGACCACCTGTCCATTTTGTGGAAACCCAAGATCAGAAAGATGAATAATACAGTGAAGAAAATCAAAGTTCGTCATTTTATCCAACTAGAATTTGCAAATTCGAGCGCTGGAGTTCCAGCCAGGATTAAACAGATATCACAAGTTTGTACAACCACCCAAGAAAAAATGGATAGTTAAATGAACTTCTGGACACTGCTATGAGTTTTCCCCAATTAAAGTAGTTAAGATCCACAAGTCGGATAAACCTTGGATTGCTCAAGCTTTGCGGCACTTAATTTGATAGGAGACAGGTTGCCTTTTTTAATTACACTGCTCAATGGAAAAAACTTACCTGTCACTACTGCCTCATTCAAGACCTGTGCTCTGTGGCTGAGAGAATTTGCAACATTGGGACGGTCACACAGTACTTACAGATTTCATTAGAACACCATCTGATTGAAACCACGGTCTCAGTCTGTTCGCATCCATGATACTATGTCATCGATCAAATCATTTCCTTATGGAGTTCCTCAAGGTTCGGTCTTAGGACCTTTACTTTTTACTTTATACATTTCTTTGGTTGTAATAATGGAGTTCAATTTCATCTGTATGCTAATGATATTCAGCTGTATGTTCCTTATGATCCTAATTATGAATCACAAATTGCTATAAATAGGATTGAGCAGACAGTTTCTGAAATCGAACAATGGATGTTTCTGAACAAACTTCAACTGAATGAAAACAAAACTGAATATAGAGTATTCCATTTCAGATTTCTGCACCCTAAGCCCACTTTTCCATCCATTACCCTTGGGGCAACAGTCCTTATGCCTTCGACATCTATCAGGAACCTTGGTGTTATTTTTGACCAACACCTTACTTTTGAAGAACATGTTAGCTCTATATGCAAGTCTGCTAATTACTACGTTCGTAACATCGGAAAAATAAGGAAGTTTCTTAACACCAAATCGGCTGAAATACTTGTTCATTCACTGATATCATCTCGGCTAGATTTTTGCAATTCCCTATTAGCTGGCGTTCCCCAGGAACTGCTCAAGCGTTTCCAATGCATTCAAAACACTGCTGCCCGTATATGCACCGGTGCTCGGAAGTATGATCATGTCACTCCTTTACTGCGTGACCTTCATTGGCTGCCAATCAGGCAATGTGTTGCATTTAAATTACTTGTTCTGACCTTTAAACTCTCCATCTGAATGAACCTTCATATTTACGTTCAATGATTTCCCGATATACTCCATCTCGCCGTCTCCGATCATTCTCTCAAATCAAAATGCCGTACCAAACTGGCGCCATATAAATTCGAGATATTATTATTATTAAGGCTTTTGACCTTATTAATCACATGTGCTAATATCCAAAATGATTGATATACTGTAGGAATCTGTAGGTCTTTTGACCTATCAATCACAATGTGCTAATATCCAAAATGATTGATATAGGAATCCGTAGGTTGATTGTCTCATGGGTTTGCGACTTCCTCAGTCGCAGAGAGCAGTGTGTTAAGTACAATAATTCTATGTCTTCTTTCGTTTGTCTCAAGGGTGGTGGCCCCCTCGAGGGACTAAACTCAGACCCTTGCTTTTCAGATTATGATCAATGATGCTGCAATGGGTTGATGATCTATCCTTTTATGAAAATGGATCTTATTTCACAAGAAGGCTTCTTATAGAATGACCTTAATCAATTTCATGAATGGTGTATTAATAATTCTCTGTTTTTAAATCCTAGTAATTGGAAAACTATGCAAATGCGACATCAAAACCCCAAACCAAATTGGGCTATATAAATTCTTACTGGGCGGTTTAGTTATCTTCTGATGGTGCTGCTTCCTCCCTTTTGGATTATTTTTGTTCTTCCTGTTATCTTGGTTGGAGCATTCATGTTCCCCAGATTGGCATTTCCCACGGCTGCGGCGGCTGGTGTTCTTACGGGAGCCGGTCCTGCAGGCCTTGCTCAATCGGGACTTTTATATGTTTCCCCAGATGGACACACTCGCTGCTTCAGCAGCCGCTGACCACAGGGGAGCCGGTCCTGCAGGCAAGCATGATCGGGACAATCATTGTCCCCTATTGGCATTCCTTTCCGAAATTATGGGATTCAAAACAACCCCATTTTTAACAACTGTGATATGAAAGCCAGGAGAAGGATTCTGCCATCAAATAAAAAAAATAAAAGTGGGACGAGCGACGTGCCGCTGCCCCTGTAATTGGTTGTGAATGACGTCACGTATACGTTGCAGCCAATCACAGGAAAATATCCACGCACCATGGAGAACCCTCTGGGTGTCCCCGCAGAGAGTGGGGAGAAGAGACCACCTGAGAGCATGGAGGTATAAAATTATACCTCCATGATAATACTTACCGATACCGATACTGACTGACTGAACCAGCCAGCCGTGAGTCTGTCTCTTATACACATCTCTGCAGGCCTTGCTCGATCGGGACTTTTATATGTTTCCCCAGATGGACACACTCGCTGCTTCAGCAGCCGCTGACCACAGATTTATCAATAGCATTTGTTGACGGGTCCCAACTAAATTTATGCCTCCTGATTTAAAAAGAAAACTATTATAATAGGCCTACTCAATATAAAATTTGTTATTTTCTGCAGGAAAGATTGAAAATGCATCCTTAATTGTTAACATGCTAGCCAGATCTCTCAGCGTAAAACATGCAGGTATTTATTTTCGAACAATATCATGTGCGCATATATGAGGAATGCAGTCAACAAAGAAAGGATAGTTAAATTGGGATTTTAAGTTGTCAACGTAATTAAAACACCATTATGGATAATAATGCATATAAAATCCAAATCTTTTAAAACTGGAGTTAAAAATGTGGGGTTTTAGGACCAATAATTGACTAATTTTTCATCACAAAAATTTCGCAGTCTCTCACAGCAGATTCTTTACAAAGGAGATTCATCCCCTCGTCCCATGCTAAGAGTTATCATAAGCCTACAGTGCTTGTCTTTCGTTAAAATGTAAGCAATTCTGTTTATTTGCAATAAATGAAGAGGATGTGCCAGGCTGTAAAATATCCCCCGCGAAAAATGTTAGTCCAAGAAATTCATCGCCTCATTTTAAAAAAATGTGGTGTGGTAAAGATGTATCGATTGTACATAGGACTTGATAACTGCATCAGTAGTTGTCAACAAAAGAGTTACAGCCATGGTTACAGCATGCACGCAAAGATTGTACATGGTGGATACCCTAGGCGGTTTTATTTACACGATCTTACTTTTTTCGCCAGTGACGTCACGATTAAATCGTATATAATGGCCTATAACTTCATAAAAAATTGCCAAAACCGATTTTAAGGTTGATTCTATTAATAACATATCAAAAATCCCGTTTAGAACAAAAAATCATTTAGTTCTCTTTTAAGGTCTGGATCCCCATAAAGAGAGACTTCGACCCTCATCTGTCGATGCCACTGGTAAATAAGGCTCTCTGCAGGTGTTGGGGTAATGATAAAGGAGGAGCTTTCAGGTCAAGTTATCGAAGTACGGAGAAAAAGTGACAGAATTATTGTTGTAGTGATGGTACAGGGGAAGCAAGTAATAAGAGTGGTTAGCTGTTGTGCACGACAAGTTGGCCGAGATGAAGTAGAGAAAAATAAATTTTACGACGACTTAGTAGAAGAATTGGGATTGAATGGAAAAAAAAGAGTTCTTAGTCGTAGCAGGTGACTTCAATGGCCACATTGGAAAGGATATAGATGGTTATGAAGGAATTCATGGAGGTTTTAGTATAGGTACACGAAATAGAAAAGGAAGAAGGTTGCTGGAGTTCTGCGCAGAATCAAATTTAGTAGTGGGTAACACTTGGTTTAAAAATAAAAGAAAGGCAACATTTCAATCCGGTGTTGCAGAAACTCAAATCGACTTTATGTTGGTAGAGAATGAATGGCGAAAAAAGATCCAAAATGTGAAGGTGATTCCAGGGGAACTCCAACACAGCTTACTGGTAATGGATGTTGGAAAATTGCATATACCAAAAAAGAAACAAGTGCTGCCAAAGAGGCTAAAAATATGGAAGTTGAGAGATGTGAAAATCCAACAGAAGTTTGCAGAAAAAATGGATGAATTGTGGATGAGTAGCTCAGAAAAGGATCCATGGCTAAAATATAAACTATGTACTCTGAACGCAACCAAAGAAGTATGTGGAGTGAGCAAAGGCAAGACACCTCAGGGTGAAACCTGGTAGTGGAATGAGGAAGTGCAAGAAGCAATTGTAAAGAAGAAGGTTAGTTTCAAGCACATGCAGAAGCAGAACATGGAGCAAAATAAGGCAAGGTATAAGAGGAACAAGAAGAAGACTAAGAAAGTAGTTGCTGCAGCCATGAAGAAAGAAACGGAGAAAGAGCTGGAAATGCTGAGTAGAGGGGGCCAAGCCATCTTCAAAAAGTTAAGAATTTTAAGGAAAGAGTCACAGGATATCTATGAAAGTAACTGCATCAAGGGTAAGGATGGTAAAATCTACTTTGATGAAGTGGACAGAGGGAAGATCTGGAGAACTTATATGGAAAGTATTATGAATAAGGAGAATGAGTGAGATGGTGTAGTGGATGCAGAAGAACCAGTGGAAGGCATTACGAGAGCAGAAGTGAAGAAAGCGCTGAACACCTCGAAAAATGGGAAAGCAGGGGGGCCATCGGGCATTACAAAACATTTCATATCATCACAGCATGGAGTAGAAGTATTATATCAGGTGGCAAATGATATTATGAAAGGTGCTAGTATGCCGGATGATTGGAAGCTAAGCATCTTAATACCAATCTATAGGGAAAAGGAAGTGTGATGGATTGTGGTTCATATCGTGGGGTAAAACTACTAGAGCAGGGTATGAAGGTGATAGAATGAGTTTTGGAGAGGAGATTGCGAGATATTATCAAAATTGATGATATGCAGTTTGGTTTTATGCCAGGAAAGGGTACAGTAGATGCTATCTTCATTGTGAGAAGGATGCAGGAATGTCATCATGATAAAAGGAAGAAACCGTTTATGTGTTTCGTAGATTTTGAAAAAGCTTTTGATAGAATACCACGTTCGGTTATCGCTTGGGCATTACGTAAAAGAATGGTTCCAGAAGGTCTGGTGAAATATGTCATGGTACTGTATGAAGAAGCTCACACAAAAATCAAATGTGGTAATGGCTTCTCAGAGAGTTTTAGCGTGGGAGTAGGTCTTCACCAGGGTTCAGTCTTGTCACCACTGTTGTTCGCAACAGTAATTGATGTCCAGACAGAAGCGGTAAAGAAAGACACATTGTGGAATCTATTATATGCAGATGACCTGGTGTTGATGGCCTAATAAATATGCGAAATTGATACTTAATGACCCTTGACATCGACAAGTTGGTTTGTGTAAAGTAAACAAATCGCGAGCGAGTTATCAGGCCTCTGTGTGAGGGCCTAGCTGTCGTTGTGTTCAGCCCAGGGATCAGCCTAGACTGCATCAGGACACGTCCCTCTCCGTTCATTTAGGCCTGGGCTAGGCCAGTCAGTAACAATAGCTATTGTTAGCCTACCCCATACTGTCTTATATAATAATTATTGAGAATATCTGAACTAGCTTGGCCCTAGAGTGTCAGCTTACTCTGTCTGTAGGTACACTTAGGCCTACCCTATATAACTGTCTTATTTATTATTGATATTATTCAGCCAGGCTTATTAAAACTTAGGCCTAGCTAGAGAGAATTATTAATTACTATTTTTTATTTAGGTAGGGTCTAGCTTTTACTTTAGAAAAACACTGGCTATTCTTCCAAAATGCAGTGTATGTTTTTCATTTTATTAAAAAAAATAATATTTAGGGCAGATATGGGACCAAGACAGCCCTGTGCTGGTGAATCTGATTATTAGCACACAATGTAAATTGTAATTATGAAGTTCAGGAAAAATTGTCCTCAATTTTCCCTGTGCTAGTGAATCTGAAGACAGAAATTATTAGCTGACAATGTAATTATGATGTTCAGGAATTATTCTCCCCAAGAAAAATAATCTTAAAAACAATTCTTTTTATTTTACCTGCTCAATTTGAAGCTACATTAAAGTTATGTAATCAAGCATAAAAAATATTTAATATTATTAGCTGTCTATGATCATACTCTACTGTACTTGATATATTTAATTTTTTTCTAATTCTAGAGTGAAAATTTATGTAACATTTACATACTAATTCTGGAAGTGGAAAAGTATTTTGTTGCTAGTGAATGATGGAAGTTTAAATTAAACATTAAATAATTTTATTTCCAAAGATAATATATTTATACATACAGGAAAAAACAATGCCCAAATAAAATACCTTCTGACCATTGATTAGCAAAAGATCAACTCCATACAAAATATTTAAATCTTGTATAATTATCTCACATTGGTCTTTTTCTGGACACTACAATAGCTCGCGATGAGAAAGAGCGTAAACATCTTGTCAACAAACCTCTTCTCTTATCAGATATCTCCATAACAACCCCAGATATCTCATACATATGCATAATTAGTGAAGCAAACTGAATTTAAATTAGCTTTCTTCCAACTGTCGCGATACAACAGTCATGAGAATTTTTCGAACTAATTTATCTGTTAATTAATGAAACTGATTGATTTTCGTTCGATTTTTGGATCAAAAGCGAATAACTTTCCTAAAGCAACAAAATGGCCAATTCAAAGTTTAATTTTGAGGTGATCGTGGAAGGCATTCGGGGATTCCCACAATTCCAGGACACTGTATGGGGTGAAGCGGACTGCTTTGTGCAGTACCACTTCCCAACATGCCCCCAGCAGGGTCAACATGCTCCAGATCAACCAATCAAACATGGTAAGAAAATTGTGTTTTTGCATGCCTAAATATGGGCACTGCATTGTGTTGCATACCAATTTGTACTTTTATATTGGATGAGACTTTTTTATATCTCATTCTTAGCAAAATTGTTTGGAAGATATTAACAGGATAGCAGAATCCAAATGTTAAGTAGTGTTTTGTTTTGTCATTTAGGAAAGTGGGTCTGCCAAACACATTAATGGAGGGGAAACATAAATTGTATATTATTGATAAATACATAATTTGAGTGTAAGAGATAAAAATGGAATAAAGGATAATTAAGCCTTTGCTTGAGTTTCTATTGCAAAGTTATTATGTAAACAGTTCAGTAATCAAATTGATAAATGCTTTACATATATTAAATTGTGATGATTGGGATATTTCTTTTCAGCAGGAGGGTAATAAAATAAGTAATTTGTTTTTCATAGCTATCTCATTGTTGATATCACAAAATATACCCTCTGCCCAAACCAGAGTTTTTATTGAGATATTCTATTTCAGTATAAGATGATAAAATTGATTTTTTTTTCACAGTTACATGTGTGCTATTCTTATTGTTGATATCCCAAAGGGCACCTCCACCAAAAACAATTCCTCTTATTTCTTCAATTCTTTTTCCCCATTTTTTGGTAATTTAGCTACACCAACCCTGAAGCCTCATCGAACTGCTACAACCCTGTGCATACCAGATCCAATGTTCCATGATATCTGTAGGCACAGACTTAACATTCCAGGAAACACACCTGTCCAGAGGGAGCTGCTCACAGGTGAGAATCGTAAGATAAGAGTAATGTCGATGATGAAGATGATGATTGTTGATGATCATTGCAAAATGAGTGATATATGAGGTTCAAGAGCCAAGGCCAGTGTAGGCAAATATTAATTACCGGCATCTTGTTTGTTTACTTGTCGTCGGCGATTATCGTGTCAAAGTGCAATTTGATTGACCAATCACAAATCACTTACAGTCGGGAATATAACGCGGTTGTTTCAAATTATCTGAACGATCGCAGTGGGTTTAGAATGTGTATGAAAACAAAGATGGCGTATCAACATATCGGCCATTTTTCGGAGAAATTACTTTACAAATGTTTTTATTAATTTCTCAAATTCAACAAATTGTTCAAGGTTAGTATTTTGTGACTGGTTTATTGACTACCCAAGGATTCCAAAACCTTCATTCATTGGATTTTTGAAAATGGTTTCATATCCATTTTAAATAAATGATGATGAAAAAATGATGATGGGATGACTCCCCGGTTCTCTGAGGCCGTGGAGGGCGGGAGGGATTTCTTCTCATTGACCAGACCAATAATATTTGCTTCCTACAGACTTACAGACAGGTACAGTTAATTAATGTGTCACTTCATTTCAACATTATTTTATGTTGATTTACAAATCAAGCATTTCAGGAATTTTAACAGTATACAATAGTATTAATGGCAATGATGAAATCATCAATATCCATGATAATGGAGCAATGATTATAACACTGTTAATGAAAACGATAGGGTGTCAAGAACTTGCATACATGACTTTGCCATATAGGGGAAGGTTTACTGAATGTAAACTTCAAAAACAATATTATACAAGAAACTTGGTAATCACAATCTCAAATTTGAACTCACCAGGACCTGATCCAACATAAGGTTCCTCCACATCAATATCTCTTGGTAATTCTTCTTTGAACTTTGTAGAGGTTGGCTCTATTGCCAAGACTTTCTCCTCTGAAACTATAATGTTAAAATAGTGAAATACATCAACTGATAATGATTATCCAAATCAATTATTTTTATGTGACTATTGATCATTACCATAATTATGTTTCAATTGGCATTTTGAGAAGATAAAATGAAAAAATAAAATAATATAATAATGATAATCCTTTATCTAATCTCAAATAAAGGACAGAACATCAAATTCAGGCTGTGATCTGTAATACATGTCCAATACAGGAAGATTTGTGCGAGTGTACTCTTATTAAAATTGTATTGTCCCTTAGTGTAAATCGAAAAAAAATAAATTTTGAAATTAAATTGGCCATTTTGGATCATCACAATAGTTATTCACTTTGAATTAAAAATTTTATTGGAAAAAACAAATTTTACTATAGTTACACCACGTTTTACAAAACAGAAAATGGAAGGGGTGACAGCGCCAAATGTTTCCGGTTTTAGCTAATAAATATGCGAAATTGATACTTAATGACCCTTGACATCGACAAGTTGGTTTGTGTAAAGTAAACAAATCGCGAGCGAGTTATCAGGCCTCTGTGTGAGGGCCTAGCTGTCGTTGTGTTCAGCCCAGGGATCAGCCTAGACTGCATCAGGACACGTCCCTCTCCGTTAATTTAGGTCTGGGCTAGGCCAGTCAGTAACGATAGCT